TGTATGCATCATCATTTCTAGAGTAGGACCGTGGACGTGATACACTCCCAGACGTTTCGCCGAAATTTTAGTCAGCATCGTCAGTGAGTCTCGCCATTCGTAGCACCATATTACAAGTCGTCAAAGAGACAATTGAAGCCCATCCTTTGACAAAACGTGTGATAAACAGTTATGATATCTCCCCTTCCGCCCTGGGCTATTCATATTTCCTGTATCCTTCTATCATGCCTTGCCTGTCATAATTTTTACTGTGCTTGTTTTTAATGTAGTGTGATGTGCTCCTTCGAGCGCACACGCTGGCGTTCACACTCCTTTCACCCTTGTGCTGGGAATGCTGACCAGAGTCTATCATATTGTTACGTAGTCCTTCCCTGGGTCCTATCAGAATCTCCCTCTTGCCCCGTAGAATCCGCCTACTATCTCCCTGGTACATGTATTTCACTCGACCCTTGCCCCCCCATCTGTGCTACTCGAGGCGTAATTCATCCATCCCCTGCACCTGGGTGATTGATTAGGGGCTAAAGCCTCAGAGTAAGTCTCATGGCCATGCCTTTGCTACATGAACCACGTCCCTTGTAAAACATACTGTCAGCCAACTAGCTCCAATCGCCGCCTCGTCTATCCTGTATCTATCCCTAATACCAAGTCCTACCAATATGATCAAGTTGCGAAAACAAGGTCAAACAGCTTCTATACAACGAAAGGAGACTGCGAGCACACAAAATGCCACACCATTTTGGGCTTCATACCTTCAATGCCTTTTATTGTTTATACATAAAGTAAGTTCGTAATTTTCGACTAAATTAGAAAGTGTAAATCAAGAGAAAAAGGCAAATATGAAAGCATAAATGAAATTCCCCGAAAAATCTGTATACAGCCATAATGATAATTGCATGCTTGTATGACGTGCTGCAAACGCATAAAAATGATGAAGATAACTTAGAATACCTAGAATCGAAGCTTGTCGATAAATCAATGTCAGAGAGAAAAACAATTATCCCCTGACAAATAGAGATATCAGTAGACTTAAAATGGCTTTATTCTCTTCCAAATACTATCTCGAGCGCTATATAAATATGATTCCCAACGACTTTAAATGCACGTTGGTGATGCGTCTCTTGGCCCGAGATCAGGACATAACGAATAGGCAGCATGGTTGTGGTTGCACAACCTTCACCAACAACAATTAGAAAATTAAAGAAGCAGAGGACAAAACAGTATAATTCTTCCAAATCAGAATACAAATTTTAAGTAAACCTCTAGTAAAAGACTGTAATCAAGACAATATTAATCTACATTGTCCTGATCCTTATCTGGATTCCGATGCCATTCCACTTCAAATAGTATAAATTATTAAAATAAAGCATTCATTTACACCTTTGTCAATTGTCGTCAAGCCCTGATAGCCAAGCTAATATGGAACGAAATATGATCGAGTAATCGTGAAAAATAGAAACCAAACAACTACCATAGAGAGCGGTCTTGGTAATAGCTGTAAGAACAAGCAAGTGAAGATCTACTGAAAAACACTTTTATAAGCATATATGAAGAGAAACAGGGTTTCGATTTTATTTCCTGAGATAACACTGTTAAGGGGACTTTCATTTCGTATGAAAGTGCATGAACAAGAGATTCATTGGTCGATCTCACCAAATGACGGATAAATCTCGTCATACTGCAGCCGTTTAGCTTTTATACGACGTACATATTGACGTAGTCAACGAGATTTCCTCCCTTGTTTCGGGTGAAAGCGGGCTGAGCTTTCGTCCATCATATGATGGATATCATTAGAGCTGGGTGTCATTCTTGTTAGCCTCACGTTAACACTAGACTAAGAACACTATCCGGCTTTATCTTACCTCTTATACAGACTCAATTAAACCAAAAGAAAATTAAAAACCTAGATAGATCGATAGAGTCGTTTGGTTAATTATCTTTCATATTAGTCCTGTTACTTTTGTTCGAGTGTGTGCGTGTGTGTTAGCGTCTATACGCAATACCGGTCCTAAATCATAGCTGTCAAAAGGCTAATGTCATACTCTGATCATCAAGGACTAATGAGCCAACAGAAAACCTTGATCGAGACTGCGTAATTCCATAAGCAAGTATGGTTGAGATAATGAGATATGAGCTTGTAAGTATGAAAGTCAAGTTACGAAACCACTTCTCTTAACCTCTCAGTCTATAGTCATTAACGCTTAACCCCCAAGGAAAGGTAAGACTGTGGCTGCGTAATTTGGCAGCTCTAGTTTGTTTGATGAGTTTACACTAACATGTTAGATGAGTATGAGTGAAGTACAAGATTCATTCGTCCTCATCTGGTGAGATCGACCAGCTAATCTCTTCTTCGTACACTTTCATACGAAATGAATATCCCAACAATAATGTTATCTCAGGAGATTCATCGAAACCCAGTTACTCTTTAGGTCTAAAGAACCAATTGCCTCGGTAGCTACTAAATTGGAGTGCAGTGAAATTAGCAAGCAAATTTCGAAAGGTATAAGACAGCGAGAGAATTGACAAAGTGGGCTGTTTAAAGAGTAGCCAGGCAAATAAAATTCCGAAATTTTTAACTTATTTCGTGAGAAATAAGCGTGCAAAGTTCCAATGCAGCGAACTCGAACCACCATAAGATTGATATAAATTGGAATAGACAAATGAATATACACATTGAATGCACAAATCAAGGGTGAAAATGAAGGAGTAGCTCACGTAAAAAAATATGCTTTAAAACTAGAATTTGAAAATGTTACTAGCAGGTGAAAAGTTAAAATATATTACGTTATTACATTAGGGGCGTACATATATGCATATATATGAAGGAATATGAAAAATTGATATGAACATACGGATTTAGCTATTTTGTCCACTGGGCGGATGCGATACCCCAGCTCAGTGAAAACATCTGTTCGATAAAGAAGGATAGTGGCCCGAGCGACTGCGCTGGATTGGTGGTCAATTGATGTCCTAACACTCGTGTCACATGGGGTGAGCACAAATCTGGCCGAGTACCCATGCTCAGCCAGCATGGAAAGAAGGCGACCGCCAGGACGAGTCAAACCGGCCTCAACATCCTGAAGACAGACGAGATCGGTCGATATAAAGGCAAGCTCACGCATGAGCTGGTCAAACTCATCTGTTTGAAAAAGTTTAGATTGGTAATGTCAAAAGTAAAGAAGGCCCTAGCAACACAGTTGTATCAGTAACTGATAACTTTGGCGAATAATCCGCCATTCAAAGGACAAGATTTACCTAAATGCATATTCATGGTATGACATAAAAGAGGAATCCATGTTATACAGGAAGAATGTGAATCCTTATTCCAAATGTCCCAGCGCCTCCATTACTCAACTATTAACGAGGCTTTTTATAATCCCTACTTTACAAAATAATCGAATTTAACTCTTTCTAGAGGTCATAGCATGGTATTTTTAAAGGTTATTTGAAAATACATCAAGAGCAAATACTAAGAACTAAGATTTATTTACATTTATTCACAGTTAAGGGATCAGAATGTTCAATATTGAGTAGTAAGTAATGTAAAGTACAATCCACGCAGTAGTAAGTTCAGTAGTAAGTCTGCTTTGAGTTAGAACTAGACAGATGGAATAAAGAGCTGGTATATTTACTTAGATTGAAATGAAACTGAAATATGAATTCCTAAATGCACCTGCTGAAGAAATTTTTAACTCAAAATTGCAATTACTATTTACAGTATAGCATTGACAATCAAATTAAACCAAGGTAGCCTACAATGTCGTCTAGAGCTGTAAAAGCTGATCACAAATGTTGAAAAAAAACAGACAGGGGCATCTAAATTTAAGAAAACTGACCCAAGCAAATCATTAAGGGAAATAAATAGTACGCAGTTGTGTTTAAATCAAGCATGCAAATCTTCCTGATTAGGGTACTAAAAGCAAAAGAGACAGGAATTGATGAACAAATGAAGAATTCGGTGAAGGGAGCATTGTATGAGAAGGAGGAAAGACGAAGCTTTTTAAGTTAGCCAAAATAATAGACATTCATGACACGACTTGTGCCTTAAGACAAAGTATTTTAGGTAATTGAGTATACCCAGTAGATACTTAATCAATTTATATGGAAAAGGATTTAAAGCACCTTAGTCTCATGCGACGTAACAAATTGAATACGAATTTTAATATCTGGTGCTAGTAAGTGTGTACCTTATTTGGCAAGAATCAGCAAGCTCTTGAAGAATTTATCATAGGAATGACACATTCCAAATATATGTGCAGAAAGGAGATAAATATAGAAATCCGTGTTTTCAGTGTCATATCTCTAAACGAATATACGTTAACTCTTTATCAACCATAGATAAATCAAAACGAAGATAAATTTCAAATAGTAAAATCATTCCCCAATAAAAGGGCGGTGAATAAAGGAATCAATAGTGCTTTATAAAATAAGGCTAGGAAAAAAGTTAGTATTTAAGACAGGAAA